GTTGGGGGCGGTTCTTTAGGTAGATGACAAATGAAAGAACTTGGTGTTTTGTAGCAAATGATTTCACTTTAGAATCCATAATAATTTAAAAGTTTGCCATCTCTTTGTGGGAAAGATGAGATTGATGATGTGCATTTGAAGCACAAATTTCTTATTTTCTTCTTCTAAGCTTTTCAGAACCTAAAGAATTGTCGATGTCTTCATGCTTTTTTATCTTTAATATCTTAGACATTACCACTATYTTAAATTACATTATATTTGGTAGAAACTTTTTACTACTAAAATAGATTATTAAATGTTCATCTAGGATGACTGACAAAGACCAGTTAAGGTCTGGGTATGAATTTTTCCTTTCCTTTTTCTCAAGCATAAGCATCTCTATTTGATTGAGTTAGTCCAATAAAAATGTTAAAATGGTTTTCAACATGTTTCTTTATAGTTCATTTCATGCCCTATTTTACAGCAGGTTATTCTCTAATCTAATTTACATTATTCTGAAAGTCACAAACTGTTCTTAATTATCTTTTAATGGTAATACAAGCTCATTTAAATGGAAAATCAGGTGCTCCAGTGGAAATCTACAGTCGCAGGTCCTTGCAAACCTAAGAACATCAAAATTTTGTATGTATCTTGATGGGACGTATTAAACAGAATTATTTTCATCTTTACAATGTGTTATTCAATATTTACACTGCATTTTATAAATGTGAGAGAAAATATTGCTGCTTCAGAATCTTTGGCTTTTTTCCCTTTAAATTTTATAGAATGGTTGCTGTGGAGATTTTGCCTGGACTTTTTTTTATTCTAACGTTCTCATTCAACTGTCTTGAAACCTATTTCTCAATTCTTTTTCAAAAAAACTCTCAAACAAGATTTTTTTTTTCTCCTGGAATTTTGAAGAATTTTCTTAAATAAACCTTTGTGGAACAAGGGATGGTTCTGAGGTTGAAAATTCAAAAATGACCCTCGTTTCATCCTTGTTGCCAATATAACAATGATGTGAAATGCAATTACATGAGCMGTTACCATATTTGAATCTGAGCAAAAGTAAATAAAGCAGAAAAAAACTTTTGTTCTTAGCCTGTAGCCAGTCAGTGATACTTCTTTCAGATGTCATTAATGCGATGGATTTAGCAGAATCTTTAAAAGTCAAGCATTTACGTTGATAATGTGATGGGATTAGAAGCCTTCACATTTCAGTGGGAGTATAAAGCACTCCRTCAGCTAGAAAGAAACTCTTTCAGAAAGCAATTTTATGCTTGTCTGCAACAGGGTTTTTCTGAACTTATAAAAATTCTTGGTTTGACTGCTCTCAGAAACACAGTACTGAATTGGGTATTGTGGAGCTCTAATTGTTATAAAATGTGGAAAATGGATCTGAAATGAATAAGGGAGAAAGACAGAGCTTCCCTTTTTCTCTGAAAAAAAAAAGATAAATTTATAAAAAATGTAGCTTTGATCTTTGTTAGAACACAATCCTTATAACTATCATTTCTTTCTACTCTAAAAAACTATAAGCTGTCTGCATATTCTTCTAGCTATATTGTTTTGACCAGGCCACACTCCTGAGGATAATCACACCTTTCACGTATAGAAAGAACCTTTCAGATGATGATTACTCTAATAATGATCATCCTTGAAACACCTCATTGGAGACAGAATCAGTGCAGAGTTACCAAATTAGCCAATATAATCAGTGACTCTGATTTGCCTGGCAAATACATATGTAAGATTACAACTATCCAGTATTTCCTGGAGGTTCTCTCAATAAATAACACCAAATCAAGGAAATCTTGATATAAAGTTGACATCTCTGCAATACAATAAAATATACAATGGCACTATGATTTGGACACAGTACAGCTGACTGTTTCATAGCTCAAATACCCAAATAATTATGAGGTTTCAGTCATCACTCAGAAATGAAGTGCAACTTTCTCACTGCAAAGAGATTCAGTGTTTTCTTCATATAATGTATAATGGCCCAGATTTAAAAGGAGCTCAGGAACATGGGAATCCTCAAACTGTGCTACGCTCATCAGAGGAATATTAAAAATGCATTAAGCTATATTGTGCTGTTGTGAGTAGTGGTGAATTTGTTTGCAGTAATTTCAACCAAAACGTTTTGAAACCATAGAATAGTAAGGACTTAAAGAAAAACAATCTGGAAAGGAGAGGGTTTTGTTTTGAAAAATAACCTGAAAGTTCATAACTGATTGGGAAAGACTAAGCAAAAGCCCTTCCTGCATCACCTGAGTAGCACCTGGGGCAGAGCTGGGCGTATGGGAACTGTTTCTGTCCAATCTGTAGAGTCTATGAGCAGGTTTGCAGACCTGACGAACAACTGAGCTCGTGAAACACTCATTGGGTTTGGGTAGCTGTGGATGCTAAGAATTTGTAAAGCCACTTTCCTTTCTGTTCTTCCAGTGAAAAACGTCTTTTCTACAGGTTAGATTTATAAGAAATAGTTTAGGGTAAATGTGTTATTGGTTTATTGTTACCCAAGATATTTGAGTGAGGTCTTCCCTAGCTATTGAGTGAGTGGTTAAAAGATTTGTTAAAAGAAAAGAAAAACATGAACATACCTTTTTGTAAGGCCAAAAGCGATTTAAAATGACAACAAAAAGGATATATTAGCACAGAGAGCACTTTGAAATAAAGAGTCATCATAGCCAAAATATGTGATGTGAAGCATTCCACTGTATAGAATATTGATATGGCAGAAACAGAAAGAGCAAAATAAGGGAATGAATATTTCATTTCCATCTCTTCTATTTATGTTTGGCAGCATGCATATTTTATTCTGACTAATGATTCTTCTTTTATACTGTTAGGATAGCAGTCACCGTGTTACATCACATGTAAGAAAATAAAATCTTCTACCTTTCCCATTGTCTGCTTATTRCTATTGCTATTTCTTGTGAAAAGGAAGAAATACATCTCCTCAGGTTTTTTTTAATCTTTTGTTTCAACGATCACAGTCTGTAGCTGTGTTCAGCTGGCTGCAGGCTACAAGATAATCATGTCTAGATAAAGTAAGATTCTTTAGGGAGTTAAAATATGAGATGAAAAATGCTCTGCAGATTAGAAAATATTTGGCCAGAAAGGCTTAAATTAGAAATCTTATTCATGCTACATAACAAAAGTGCACAAACTTCAAATTGGGAATTATTCTATTTAATCCTTTAACACAATGAAGACTTTTAGTAGTGAGATTCAGCAGTGTTACACTAAGGACTAATAAAACTGAAGGAACAACAACTTTTGATCATGCCATTAAACAGATGGCGCCGCCCATACCGAGGTTCCAGGATGTATATTATACTTCTTTATATAGCAGGCCCCATTACATTTTAACTATGCCCCCTACAACGTCTAATTAAGAGCAGGTTCTTTTATAACTCATAGATTTTCATTTTCCCTTGCATGTGAGCAGGCAGCTATTTATCAAAGTAGAAGCATATGCCTTGATTGCTGTATTTTTTCCAGTTTTGCTCCARTTCAGAGGCATGGGGGTCATGAGGCCAGTTTATGCAAGCTGATGATTTGGCCAGGCTGTTTTAGGAAGCAAAGCTCAGCACACATTTACTCACCTGACTGCACTGTTCAAGCACACTTTTACCATGAGCCATTTATAGGAATTATTTCAACCTATATTTGTTCCACTTTACATATACCTCGCCTACCTCACACAAGCACAAAGAAGAAATCTCTACAGTTGAATAGCAAAGCAGGAAAACCCTTGGAGACAGCACTGCTTATCAGAGCCAATCTTTGGAAATCTGAAAGCAGAACACTGATATTCTTGTATGTTGTTTAATGGTCTATGAATCATCTGCTTCATTGATGGGATGGAAAATATTTATTCTTGCGTGAAAAGCAAAATTAAAGATCAGGATGATGTCTATAATAAATGTGTAAAGAAAAATCATGGCTAAATTTACCAAATGGTCAAAACTTAATTATATTTATTATTTTTAAGTACTTTTAACTGAATCAGAGGTGTATCTCTGGTCATAAATGCAAGCAGGTTTGGTTTAGTGTAATTTTTGATCGTATATTTGCTAGGCAGATTATGGAAATGCAGGGGTCCAAGTACTCGGACCCTTGGGGTTCTCTGTGGTGATYTCTCTGCATCCTTATTAATTTAACAGTTCTACTAAATGTCAGAAATCATAGGACCTGAAAACAATTTGTGATTAACTCTCCAGCTAACTACTCAGTAAGGCTGAATCTGTCCAATTGTCTGTACTCTCATGACTTCAGAAGCATCCTAAGTGTATAGTTGTGTGCAAAATAGGGTTAGATCTCTGTATACTATGGGTATGTTTCAAAGATTTTTCTTAATTTCTAATTAGAAAGGCACAGCTGTCAACTGAGTGTGTTGTGTCCAAGGAAAATGCATTGGAATCTATTTGTTTTTATTAACTAAATGGGAAATGTATGGAAAATATAAAAATTAGTACAGATTATGACAGCAAGTGAACTGAATTTTTCAAATTATTTCAAGATTGTTGTTTGATTACATATCTTGGCTACTATTGCTAATTTATAAAGGCCAAAGATAACATTTTCTGTGAAACTAGTGAGGTTTTATAAGTGCATTTTGAAGCATGACTTTATTGACTCACTGCTAATGTGAGTTGTTAGATGTATGTCTCCTCTGGAGATCTCATCTGAAAGTTAAAACACAGCAAAAATCCAAACAAAATCTAAAATAACCATCGTCTCCCACCAGTGGATGGAAATTATTCAGAGGAGTSTCTTCTTTTAAATTGTCTGTAAAATTTTGATACAATCCTTGAACACCTAAAAATTCAATAGAATTTCTATAAGCCAGCAGTGTTTGAGTTCAGTATTCATACAATATGTGCATTGAAAAGAAGCTGAAGAGAGCAAGAAATACTTTAATATTTCTTTAGTTAAATATGAATTTAATGTTTTCAATCAATCAATCGTGTGATATACTGTACCTGAACGTCTTTTCTTTCCTCTAACAGGCTGATAATGTATGGCTTTGTGAAGGCCATGGTACACATTGGCCATCTAGAAGGATGGGAATTCCACTTTACTGACTGTTTATTTTTTGGATCACTGATGTCTGCCACAGACCCAGGTAACTGTTTAAAATATTTTTCTTTTCCCCATACTTAGAGGTATAAATAAGAATATATTAAAAAAAAAAAATGTGCGTACCATAAAAATGTTAAAAGACTGCATTCTTCTCAATCTTATTTATTGCCAAAACTCTTAAAAGCATGATATTCCCATAATTCGGTATTTTAGTAACTGCTAAAGCTATGTTTAGCTCATGAACTTTACAAATGCAGCTACTGGGGAGCCTGGAACAAGGCTGCTAAGCCTCATTGCTCACAAACCCGAGTCCTGATTGCTGAGCCAAGACCTGCTGTCACGCTGGAACCTCATGCTCATAGCTTAGGCTCCCAATCCATGCATGATYCAGCCCTATTTAACAATACAGCAAACCAGCTTTCAGATTTGGCTATATAAATACTATTTTTAAGGWACTAATTTGCAATTAAAATGCAGGGTTGCATGATAAAACAAAATGCATGATAAATACCAACCTGTTGACCTGAAGTTGCAGATATGAGATTTGAAGCCTAAAATTACAGCAAATATTCTGGCCTGGGAAACAGAGAGTGACTTTACATTTATAGAATCATTTAGATTTGACAGGACCTCAGGAGGCCATTTGATCCAACGTCCTAATTAAAGCAGGGCTAACTTCAAAGTTATCCAGAGACTTGTCCAGTTGCTGTTATGTTGAAAATTTTAACAAGAGCACCATAATGTTAAAAGTATTGCTTTTTGCATCAAAAAGACAAGCGTGAAGGGAGAGGTGAAAACAGGTGATTTTTTGGATATTACCTCTATAATAAATAAAATTATGCTGATTGTTGCAATCTAATAGAAGCTGGAAAGAGACCTAGGGAATCTCAGCCGTAGCTCTGCCCACATGCGGTCTCGCAGGGCATCCTCGCAGGATCCTGGTGGGACCGGAGCACAGAGCACCGTATGATGCATGCAGCAAACACACTAGTGTTAACTCACCCGAGAAACTTCTCCAACGAACTTGTGAATAAATCTTTCAAATTTGTGTCAATTAAAAGAAAKGACAAAAAGCAAGATTATTCTACCAATTTGTTCCATTCTTTAAATGCTATTTCACAAAGAAAATTGACAGCTTATGATGTATCATTTTGATGGCTTAAAATAGGGTCTAAAATAATTTATTTTCATAAAACCAGTTATTGCAAGATTGCTGTATAAAATTCATCAAACCATTATTCTCAGATTAATCCAAATATCCAATACCCTGCCTCTTATGAAATCTCTTTAAAARGACTCAGCACACAATAAGAACCAAACCAACTGAACAACACAGAGACTGAAAGCACAAACAAAACCTAGGAAAATTAATTGCTTATAGAAAAAGGGTTGCTTAAAGCTTCCAAACAGAGCTCTTGATTGTACTATGAATAGAGTTTTGCAGTTGGCTTAGTTTCTTTTTCTGATTTGCAATCCAATACTATTTAGATGCACAAATTAACAAGTTGACTTGCAGAGACATGTGGAAGACAAACACACTGATTTTGATTACCCTTTTAATTCACCACTCATTCATCTGGAACGTTCATGATATATAAAAAAAAAAAAAAAAGGAGTTATTCCACTTTTATTGGAAGGAATAAGAAGTGACAAATGTTTCTTAACAAGTTTAAATAGTTAACACTGAATTTGTGAAAAATATTTCTAGTGTGAAAAACTATCAACAATTAATGCTGTTTGTAATTGATCTTCCACTTGTACAGTGCCCATGCGCCATTTTAATGTTCAGTCTTCCTCCTTCTGTTATTGATCTACAATGCTGTAAACTRTTTTGCCTCTCTGTAATTTCCAGTCCCCCCCGCCAAAGAATTACAGAATTTTGAATAAAAATTTTGCTTCATTTAGTGGTAGAAGTTAGTGAAAATATTTCATTGTGATGAAGCGTTTGCACATGAATTGTAATTTCAAGCCATGCAAAGTGTTCATTGGACTTCCAAAATCAGTTCAAACATGGTCCTCTGGAGGAATGACACATGCAAGGGCATAAAATAATCAGTCTAATGATTGATAGGTGATATCTAGCTTAAAAAAGAACTCTCTGGTGAAATGTTTTTAGTGTTATAGAAGGATAGAATAATAAATTACTAGGATAAAACAGTAAATTACTGTCAGAGTTGCTACTTGATTGTTCATTTAATTTTTCACTATGTAGGATTATAAACTCATTTCAGAAAGGGTTTTAATTTCCCCTGGCAGTGAAAAGCCATTAAGCCTAACAAGATGCTAAAAGCTGATCTGTTGACATGTCAGAAGTTGTTTCGATTGAGTTTCTTATTTGTAAGAGTAAAGATAAGGCTGGTAGATGTTTATGTGGTAAATGAGAAATTTTATTACCAGGACATTAAAAACTATACGTAGCTAGAAGCTCCTAATATTGTTAGAAAGAAGAAATAAATGATCTTGTAGCACTTTACAGGTTTTCATTTGAGGTGTGTTTATTGATGTTCAATACACAGATTTCTCTGTAAAATTAATTCAGAAGGTTTTCTCCAATATGCTAGGCTTCCTTTTATAGAAAATTTGCACATGAAGCAATGTGATTAATAACTGAACTTATGATTTGCTRTATCTGGGAAAGTGTTTGAGATTCTTTTAATTTCTTCTACTCTCAGTAGAATAAAGTAGGATTACAGAAAGCTAATATWCAAACCACTATGACATCAAATATTCAACTAAAAATAAAAATTCAAACAAAAAAAATCCCTTAAACGTAACAATTGAAGAGTCTTAGTTCCTCAAAAATTTTGCTTATGTTTCTAAACTTGTCATTTTAGGCTGGGATCTCAAGTCCCTAATGTCATCTCTGATATTTAGATATGCTTCAAAAAACTKCAGGTATACTAGATAAAAAGTTAGAATCTTTAGGCGCAAAGCAAACTTGCTTAATAGCACATCATTATTTTTTCTTGAAATATCTCCTTCAGATAATTTATCATTTTCAGAAGAAAAAAAGGTACCTCATTTCAGTAATTCAGAAGAGAGTTTTAATTCTCAAGGCACAGAGGTTTCAAACTCTGCCAAACTCTCCCTTTGTTGGTCTTTTATTTAAAATGACAGACTAATGTGTGTATTTTTCATCATTCTGATTGATAGGTATCATTTATCAAAAGTTAATCAAATGTACTTGGGAATATCATCCCTTCTCTTCTTATACTTCATCTTCTTACACAAGTGCCTCATCAGTCACAGAAAAACCTCTCCTGATGCTGGATTATTAGCACTGTTACAGGTGCAGCTTCAAGTACCATTAAGTTTTGTGGCTATTTGAGCAGATTACATTTAAGCAAGAGTATTAATGAAAGGAATTGAATCCTACTTTATTTAGTCTTAGGCTGAACTTGCATCACTAATGATGACACTTTTTACAGTGAAAATCCTACCTTCACTTTTTTTTTCCCCTTTTTTTTTGGTCAGAAAAGCAAAGCAGGTGATAACGGCCTTTCCTTCTGCTTCACGTTAGAATGATTTTTATACAAAATGTCTCAATTAGCCTCGTTGAGGGTGGGACGGGGTAGGCAAACCTAAGCAGAGCCTTAGAGTGAGAGGCAAGCTGACAGAGGGGAAAATGCCTTTTTTGAGCCCTGTGAACTTACTAGGGTTTGTGCAGGCGAGAAGGCACAACCCATGACTGGAAACCCATGGCTCGCTCGCAGCTGGAAAGCAAGACTGGAAAGGACTCAGCCCRCAAGGACAGCGTGGGTAAAGTCATTTGCAAACTTCATAGCTAGTCTGTATAAAATGGCCACTCAGTTTCCTCAACTTAAGGGTCTCCCTGGTTTTAGCGCTGCGTTTTAGTTCAACCAAAGCCTGGCTCTAGAGAGCAGAAGCTTTGGGCCATGAGCAGTTCCTCATTGCTCCTCACTTGCAGCCAGGAGGAGGTGACCGAGGTGGGATGCAGGGACCACAACCCGGCCCTCCATTGTGGGTGGTGGGACCTGGCAGTGAGGAGGCCTTTGGGAGCCACCGTCTGTAAGCGACGAGTTGGAGTGACCATTGAAGCCGGCTGTGACAGAAAAGATGTGACCTCTGCTTTGGCCACCAGAAAATAACTGGGCAGAACTTTGTCTTAGGCACTATTATTAACACATCCTATGCAATGACCTTCCAATCCAAAGACCTTTCATGCATCTTCAACACTTTTCTTTTTTTTTTTTTAACTTTTGACATTTCAAGCGTAGAAAAGAGATTTCCCTTCAGAAAGGTTTGCTGAAGCCGAGCTATTTCTGAGCTGTATGAACTCTCTTACCTCAGTCATAGTGATAATCACAAGGCCCTTTTCTCCTTAAAGTTACTATGGTGATAGCTGAGCCAAAGATGGGAGTCGTGCTGCTGTTTTTATTGATAAAAATGGATATTTATCAGAAAGAGCAGGCCCCATTTCTCATAAAGTCAAAGATTTTGCATTTAAAAGGATAATTTATACAGCAGGTAGTACATTTCATAAACTCTTTTATTAAAGCTTATTTATAAATATATAATTAATATATTTTAAGGCTCTTTCCTTACTCATCACTGAGGCAATCTGTGAGTGGCAAAACTGGTTAGTAGAGTCCATAATTAAATTGCAGCTGTTATTTTTCTGAGAAACATGGATGGGAATCAAAAATGAGATTTCCCTCATCTTATTTTCTTACCATTTGGAACTTGCTCCCAAAGAGAATTTAGACCAATGAGCTATAAATTATATTAATTATTGTAGTCATGTAGTCACATGATTAAGCTAAGTAAGCAATACTTCATATACTGGTCTCATTTAGTTTCTGGATTTTCTTATTCCTTTCAAACATAATAAAACCAAGCGGTATGAGATACAGCTAGCTGAGGGATTTTTGCAATCTGGTGATAAATATGCTCCTAAATTAATAACAAGCCAATCTGTTTTTACACATGTAAAAACTATCTTTTATAAAGCAGCTGTTCTGATGTGGTAGAACTAAAATTGGGCTAGGTTTAGCATTTAGCTTGTCATAAAATTACACAGAAAAACTGAGAATCTACAAATGGGCTTATAGATCGATCTTCTAATTTCCCAGGTATTTAAGCATAGCTTAGAAAATTTTGTGAACAATTATTTCAGTGCTACCAGAATTATGACTGAAATTCCAAGAATTTTGATTAAGACAAAAAAATAAAAAAAATCACCTGCTCATATTTTTGTGCAAATTACCCACAGCCGCCTTAATGTACACGTGTGCAATTTCCATTTTGGAAATGTCAGATGTTAACGTGACATCCTGGAGACGCGAAGAGTCTCCTGTGCTACTAGGGTTAAGTCACAGGCACAATTATGCACGAGAAAGAGCAACAGTGAAGCAGATCGGTACCGTGTATTCTCCAACCATACCAATTATTGGGCGGCTTTTCATTAAATTTAGTTTGAAAAGAGAAAGTTCTGCTTCCTCCATACAAAGAGAAAATACTAATATCAAACTGAGCACAGATAGGTTTTCTCATTTAGAGATTACAAAGCAATATGTAGGTGTAGGGAAGCATTAAGCCTCACTGTTTACAGGTAAGGAAACTGAGGCATAAAATGACTAAGGCCTCCTTAGACACCTATACGAATTAGATTTCTAAATACAGACCACATGTCTAAATGCCTGGGAAGATGTGTGTCTAAAGGACTCATCCAACTTTAAAATTAAAATTTGTCACAATATAAATTCTTCTATTGCACTAGCAAGCTAAAATTTAAATATAACATATAACTCAGGGAGAAAAAAAGAGTTTTTAATTATATGCTGAAGGAATCCTAAAATGACTTGCAGATATTTGATGTCCTGATCTGAAGAAGAGAGTTTCATCACTACAAACATGCCACTTGAGGGGAAAGGATTTATGCTGCCCATAGGACAGGGTATAAGGCTACTTATCCCAATAACTGTTCCCCAGTAAACATTATTATATYTTTCCTAAAATAGGTAAACTGCTGTTCTCATAACCTACAAAGCAGATAGCAAAAGTGAAGTCTTACTAGCATTCTTTTTCCTCTGGGGTGACAAAATCTTATTCTTCTCATGCACAGTAAAATACACTGTGATACTTCYATTCATATGTCATTCTGGATGTAACTGGGAAAATTCTTTCCTAATTCTGATAAAGCAAAAAAATGGATAGCATTGCTGGATTTAAGGATCTTACATCTCCCATTCATTTGATCCCTATTCTTTATTGTCACCTACTTAGCTAATAAAATCAGACTGGACTTCTCAAAACACATACCCTATCATTGCTTTATTTTTTAAGCTGCTAAGACAATATGAAAATAACAGACTCGCTTGTTTTGTCTCCATGCAGTGACAGTCCTTGCTATTTTCCATGAGCTGCATGTCGACACAGACTTGTACACGCTCCTTTTTGGAGAGAGTGTCCTAAATGATGCCGTGGCTATCGTGCTGACATAGTAAGTATATCCACCTCCATCCTTTACTTGGTGCAGTAAGCTTTAATTACTGATATAATTCTCTGTGTAASTACAGATACAGCGTATGAAGTTCTAGACTTGATCTTGGTTTGTTTATCACCATAATCCAAGTATTATTAATGGTAGCTATATAGCCAAATTCCTGATTGATTTCTTCAGCTTAGAAAACAGTATATTCTGTAATTCTTTTCTATATTTCTTTTCTGATCTAAGAAAAAGATATCTTGACAGAATAATGTTAATTGAAACAACTAAAATTGGAGACAGATGTTCTCAAGCAGAAGATATCTCATATCCTTCTTATTTTTTGCAATCCATTGTTTTCCAAGATTAAAACCATGAAAAGGTACAGTGTAGCCCAGCTTATCTTTCTCTGTTTATTAAATCTAACAGAGCTTCAGTTATTAATATGACCTTAAATTTATACTTCAGTTGATAATGTTACCTTAAATTTATATATAACCTTTTCATTCTCAAGAAACCTCAAACAGGTCACAAATGATGAGCCAGAATCAAGTATATCCTCTCCAAAAAGCGTACATGCCATGTACATGATTAACAGGTTCTCATGTTAACTCCTCTCTGTGTGTAACACAAGATTCACGGAGCATTGCTAGAAATACAAATAATCCTCTCAGGGAATCTAATAGTGACAACTTTGCAAAAACAATTTTATCGCCCAAGATGCTTGAAGATGTTTCACAGAAAGCACCAATTCATTGTCACCTATCTCCTTAAAATACCAAATAAATGATTCAGGAGTTCCTTAAACTGGGATTTATTCTGTCCTCAAGGAAAACAGAGTTTATGTTCATTAAAAAATGAGACTACATTTCCTGAAATCCTAGAAGAGAAACTTCTAATAGTTTAGCTGCAACAAAAACAAAATCATTTCAAAGTACAAAAAAATAATATTCCAATTAAATTTATATTCTGCAATTATCAACCTGGTTACAGTCACCTACGCTAATCTCCTTGCACAGCTTTTAGAGCAAGAATAATATTTCCAAATGCTGTCAAGTGTCTGAGCACAGCATTTGATTAGACACAGCACTGCTGTCACATTCAGTGACTCTGGCTGGAATGTGTCACTTAGCAGAGCATCTACTACATCAGAAAATAAAATGCACAAAAGGAAATCTAGGAACAAGCAGAAACTGCAGGTAGACTAGCAYCCATTTAAGTGGTTATTACATAGGAAAGAAGCATGTAGGTGACAAAAGGCTGAGATTTTTTTCTCTTACCGTTTCACTTGGTTTTGTATAATGCAGGCTAATACTTTTAAAGCTMATTTAAACTCTTCTAGGTCAAGGTTCCTAGTGACTGTGTTACAGTTAAGACTACAACTAACTCAGAGAGGGCCAGAACCCACCGAGTGTCTGTAGTTTTCAACTACTGCAATGTCAAAGCAGGTGGATCTCTTCAAAGATGAAGGAGCTGTTGAACTGCAAAGCGTATCTAGAAAGAAAGTACTATCATACAGTGTATGATTCATAACCTCTAACCTCTGCTCTGCTTGTACTCAGGTCTAGGTTATGTYCCACCTGCATATAGCCTGGGTACAGAAACCATAAGAAACCATAAGAAAGCAAATGCTGCCCACCTGCTTCTCATATTTTTTTGCTRCATCTAGCAAATTACAGCTCTGTTCTTTACTACACAGCTTGTGGCTGGAAAGCTAACATAGTGTTTATATATTCACTAGGACTGATGCCTTGGTTTCTACAACAGATTGAGTCATTTGTAGAGACTGAAGAGAATAAATGGTGTCGTCAGGTACACTTTAATTTCTAGCCTAAATAATAAGCTTTTGCACAAATGCAATATACCTGAAACCTAACATGATAGCCACTAACAACAACAAAATTTAGCTTACAAAAGGTCCAGCACACACAAGCCATTTTCTTAGCTGCAGATTTAGCCTTCTGTCATTCCTTTTCCYAAACATCATAAAGCAGCTATTTGCTCAGCTTAGCCCCAGAGTATGCCTGGCCATTCGCACTGTAGGATGCAACCCTTAGGGTAACATTTCTCATTCACAGATTTCAGAGCCAGGAATGTTTGTAGATATATATAATAAATACCATAAAGTGTGCAGTGACATGTTTGTGAGTTTAGAGCATATTCTGAAGACCTTAATCAAAAAACATACCAGTAACTTCAGCTGGAGTGGTATGTGATGAATTTGGCTGAATATTAAATATTTGTGGATATTTACAAAAAATGTGAAGATTAACTTAATTCCTCTTCATTTCTTTTCTGCTGTTCTCTCTCCATATTTTCTCTTACTGTTGAAGCAAAAGTCTACATCTAATTTGAGTGTACATGTTGCAGGTTTGCAATTATGTATTTTTTGCACATTTGCAGAGAAAATTGATGAAGAAAGTGTGGAAGAAGGTATAGGAATAGTTGAGACGTGACTGGCAAGTAGCTGAATAGGTCATTAGCACTGAGACAGTATATTTAGCAGAGCTATTTAATCTTTCTCGTGCTGAGTGCTCAGTGAGTGTAGGATGTGGAAAGCAGTAATGAATACGGATATGTGTTMGCTGCTAAGAGAAATTATCTATGAGAACATTACACAAGAGATGTTTCCGTTGTAGAGAATGTCAGAAAGGTTTGTATCATCATTATATGAAAGACATGACTACTTCCCTACTGGCTCTAGTATTATTACTCAGTAGGTCTGATGAGCTTCATCTGCTTCCTGGTAGAGGTGACAGTGTGCAAGTCACACGAGCAGCAGGCAGGTTGGCTGATATAAAACAAAATCCAAGGAACAGCAACGTATAGCACATGTTTCACATGGAATCAAAGCAAATGAAGGGGAGCCAGGACACAGGACATGTGGCACAAGCTTCTGTGTGYCGGTTTAAACAGTTACCAAGACATTTCTGAAAATAAAGAAATTTTGCTTTCCAAACTTCTGCAGCACCATTCTTCTCTAACAGTACATATATTTCAAGTCCATTTTTTYATGATCCAAGTAGGATATAACACTGTATCAGTGGCTGATAAATTAAAGGTCTTTAGAAACCATACTGGTTTTTTTGAGTTTAAAAGGCTTGAAATTTGTGAGAAATAATTTGGTGGTTATGTATTTCATCTTGCTTGTGTCTTGTCTCCTTCACTCTACACAATAGAGCTTACCCACTAGAGTAGGATAAAGACTAAAGAAAGAACTCCAAACAAAAATAGCTTCATGGCTTCTCTTGAATCTTCCCAGGATGGATGTGTAACAATACATTTCATATCATAGCTCTTCTCTGCTCAACAATACTTGCATTCTAGCCTCACAGTGCTATATACAATTTAATGATACGCTCAAACCCTTCTTTCTTGTCAGAAGTTTTTCTAAAACTTGTATGGAGCTTCCTAAAATAGCATGGCAAAGGTAACTGAGACAGACTTAGCAGTATTCATTTCCAGTGGAAATAACTGAGAAGTCAGAGAGCAACTCAGTTTGTACTGGCACTCTCTAAGGYTGGCATTTCTCAGACAGTGATCCCTATAATTGCCTTAGGTAGTCAAGAGAATTGCTTCTGTCACACTGGTGATTCTTACTGCTAGATGCAGTCATGATATTACTAATTGTAATTCAGTTCAGATGTCTTAGAAATACAAGACATTATTTTGAACAAATATACCTCAAATAACAGGTCAGAAAATATAACACTGTGGAGAGGAATAAAGTAGAATTTACTGAAAGCTTGAAAGAAAGCAAAATGCTGGATGGAAGTTCAGCTCAAACATTTCACTTACTGAAACAAAATGAATCTGGCTCCTATTCTCACTATTGTTAGAAGGAGCAGCTATTTAATCAGTGAAATAGCAGAGTAACCAATGAAGAAATACAGTGAGGAGTTAATTGTGCACAAGTTAGCAAGTAATTTAGAAAGGTGGATGAGGAATTCTTTCTATCTATTATTTCTATAATAATGACATTATGGCTGCCCATCTGCTCTTTTTACCTTTGAGGGARGGTTTAGCCCCTGCTTATTATCTTGATGATAATTAGAGTTTCACGTCACTGACCATCTGGAACAGGAGATGTGAGCATTGGGAGATTGCCCAAATTCACTATTATCACAAACTGTAAAGGTCTTCTTTCCCAGAATAGAGGAAATCCCACATAGCATGATAAACCTTCCCTTCTCCGGGAGCCTCACTGCAAAGAACAATGCTGCATGGAAATCAGGGAAAACAGTGCTATGGAATTTCTTTTGCCCTTGTCATAGCTGGAATTTCTGTCTGAAGAAGACAGAATAGTTTTCAGGAATTAAACTCTACCCCTTCATTTTGTTTCATTTATGTTTTAATATTTCATATCCCTTTTTTAATATTGGCTCCACATTAAAAATTCTACTTAGCTTCTAGTTATTACATGCTAAAGATCTTTCCAGCTATAAGTTATCTAACTGGGTTCTGTTCTGTTTATGCAATTTATTTGAATAGGCAGCCTTAGTTGCAGTCTGTTTGTAAGCTAGAATGGATTTCGGCRAGTACTGTTATGGAGATTGCCCTCAGGGATATATGAAACTATAACTTAGCTCCAATCAGCTGGGAAAGTCTGTACTTGTCATACCCAGTCCAATCAGACTAGCTGCAGGTATTTCTGTCCACTTACACACAACCAAACCAGTAACATTTAAAATTATGAAACACAGGTTCAGAATTAAGAATTCTACTTGCAATGCTTGCAAATCACATCTAAGAGGTAATTATTTAGCTATATTTTCAGTACAAATGACCAAATTGGCATCAGAGCTTCTTCATTGCAAAGATTTCTATTGGGAGCTCTTCAGAAGTGAAGTACGCCCTGGTATGAGTCAGCTTGTTTTTTGAGCTCTTCCAGATGTTTTTTCTTATCCAAATAATCTTTCTCTAGTGAATAAGTCAGATTTTCTGAGAGCAAAATACTTATATACACAGTCAAATTTTACTTGCAGAAACAACTTTCCTTTAGCTTGAAATGAATG